AGGCATTACATCCTCATAATACACCTGCTAGACCTTGACAGGTAATATCTGTTAATTTAATTAGTGAATTGTCTGAGTCTAAGGGATTTAACACTATTTGTATTATTGTAGATTGTTTCTCTAAGCAAATACATACTCTTCCTACTACTATAAAGGTTACAGTTAAGGGAATGGTTAGACTGTACAAGGATCAAGTCTTTAGACTCTATAGATTACTTAGGAAGATTATACATAATAGAGGACTGTAATTTAATACTAAATTCATGAGAGAACTTTACAAAGTGTTAGGAATTGTAAAATACAGTAACTAAGTTTGGAAAGCTTAACTTAAAACTTGGAACCAAGTAGTTTATATACAAAACTCTATTAGTTACAAGTTTAGAGATTAGTCAGATCAACTAGACTACCTTTGTTGTCCTACTTAGTAAGAACTCCAGCTTAGCATTATTAACCTCTAATTATTACTAATGAGTGATTAATCCATTAGTAGAGAGAGAGGACAAGAAGGAGTAGGTACTAAGTCAGTTAGGAAAAGGTAACAAAACCTGTAGACAAGGTCTTTATCTCTCTAAGGTTAAACACATACTCTAGTACAGTATTACTTAATAACCTTAACTAAAGACAAGTCATTTAGAATGCTTGTATAGAGAGAGGATCTAGAAAGAGTATAGTGTTCAGAGTAAGGAGTATAATAGAAAAGACTAGGAGAAAACCTGGAAGAGATAAAGGAAAATATTATACTTACTTATAGGAGAAACTATATAGTTAGCTAGAAACTCTTTGTACAAAGACAAAGGACTATCAAAGCTAGTAAAGAGTCAGAGCCAATACTCTAAAGCTTTATACTTGAGAAGAACTAGTACTAGTGTGAAGGAAAGGGAACTGAGAGCTCTAAGGAGAGACTATAGGAAAGTAGTCTCCTTTATACACTTTACTTATACAGATGGGAAAGTAATGAAGTCATAAACATGAGGACTATATAAGGATAACATGAGGAATACATGAGACAATCTAGAACTTTGGTTGTAAGTTCTATGATTGAATACAAAAGTATAAAGATAAGGCTAGAAGTTAATAAGGATAATTGTCTCCTAAACTAAGTCTATTAAAGAAGACTTAGGGAAAGATTTAGAACATTGGTTGTCAGTTCTAGAGTGTACACAAGACAGTCTAGAACATTAGTTGTAAGTTCTAGAGACAGTACAGAAGTACAGCCTTTTATATTATAGAAGTTATAAGGAGTTATTAGAAGTCATAATACTCTACCTTATGAGAAAGTGTATTACAAACTAGTGTACAGGAAGTACAGGTCAAGTCAGACAGAGTCATAAGAACAATAGAAAGCTCCACTTTATAGGAAAAGCATTATACAGCTTACACAGTATAACTAGTTAGGAGGACTCATAAGGAGTCATTAGAAGTATGAGAGGAAGTATGAAAGACATAATAATACAGTAAAGGAGTTAGTAGAAGATTAATCTAGAATACAAGAAGACACAAACTAGTGTTACAAGATTAATAGAAGACACAAACTAGTGTAGCATATAGTCTAAAGGATTAGTCAGCTCTACTTTATGAGAACAACAGTAAAGGGAGTTACTAAAGTCACTAGAGTAACATTACTCTAGCAAAAGGTATATAAGGAGGCCAGTTTGGCCCTTAAAAGATAGTTTTATTAACTTAAGTTACCTAGTACTT